ATTATTTCATATATGAATACTCTTCTAAATACTTCCAGGTGGAGGAAATGAATAATACTGAAGAGGAGGTGCAAACTCTGCCATACGTGCTGGCCTTACATTCATTTTGTGTGGTGGATCCAACCCTTTGTGTGCCATCTTCTGACCCATCTCAATTTGTTGTCACGCTGCAGCCTTATCTTAAGACTCAGGTTGTATTATTATTTATTATCATTTGCTACTGTATTTCGTCTTTCAGCAATATGGGTGATAAAATGTACTTGTATATTAGTTTAATTGTCTGCTTGAGATTGGTATATGACATATGGGGGCAGTACCTGGTTTGTCAATCTGAGGGTGGTAGGTACTTGGGTCAACTGGGTTGGCAACTTTGTAGATCATGTATGAACATTCACCTTTCAAGGTTAAGGATCAGACAAGAGTAATTATTTACATCTTTGCTAATCAAGGGCTCAACCTAGTGGTTGGTTAAACTTTGGGTTTTCCTAGTGCATTTGCAAAGATAGATATGCTCAAGTAGGGAAAACTCCGCTACTTGATTTCATGGCAGATTTGGGGTTAAAAGTGTGGAACCAAGCTGATTACGGGCATTGAAGCTGCTAATTTGGCATCAAGCCACAGAATAATATTTAGTTCTTGGATTTTAGAGATGGAAACAAAGCAGAAGTGGATTCGAGATTAAGTTACTGCAATAACTAGCTCAGTGCCTCCAACCATTGGGGTAATGCTTCAGCTGATATGGCTTCTGTTTTTGTCCAGGTTGATAACCGAGTTGTTGCGCAGTTTCTGGAGAGTATAATCTTCATAATTGATTCAGTACTTCCCCTGATAAGGAAGTTGACATCAAGTATTGTTGAAGAACTCGAGCAAGACTTGAAACAAATGATCGGGCGGCACTCATTTTTGACAGTGGTGCATGCTTGCATCAAGTAATTTCATCTACTCGGTTTCTGCTCGTAATGGACACATTCATTTTTTTATCAACCTTTGATGGTGTATAGTTATGAACATTAATTGTTTGATTTCATTTGCTGTGTGCTGACCTTTGCATGCATTGTGAATGGATTTGGCTGTCGATATGGATGGTAAAAGATGGTATTTACTTTTTGCAAGCAGCTTGTCTCCTTTAATTCATCTTTGAGGGACTTCTACATTTTCAGGAATTTATCTCCTGCTGTCATTTTTTGCAGCTAGTTAAATCTTGTTTTCTATTTACAGCAATATTATGGATACTATTTACATGTTCACTATGCAAAAATATGCTTGCGACTGAAGCTTCATAAGCCCTTTGAAAATTTGTGTATTATTACACTGTAGACCACGTTTGTATGTGTAGAACTTTAAATTAATAAGTTCATTGCTTTGAGCCCATAATTTTTAATCCTGTAGGCTAAGCATTTCTTCTTGACATTGACTTTTGCAGATCAACACTGTTGAGTGTTTATACTTTGCATTCCAAATCTGCATCATCCTTCCCTTAAATTTTAGATGTAGATAGTGAAATGCTTCCCTACTTGCAGGTGTCTGTGTACGTTGAGTAAGGTTTCTGGAAAAGGGGCTAGTGTTATTGAATTCCTCATACAGGTTTTCTTCAGGCGCCTTGATGCTCAAACAATTGAGAACAAACAGGTTGGTGGATTTAGCATAGTTTGGTGCTTATCAACTTCTTAAGCATGATAGTCCAATGTTTAACCTTTCTGTTCCTTGTCGATGGGGGCTTACATTTACTAATGCTGTGTTTCCTAACACCTAATTAGGAAACATCCATTACATTGTGTACTTGCTTCCAATGTACTGTGCTACAAAATGAATTAACCTCATCTTTTTCTGCAAGTGACAGTTGATAGGGCGTTCTCTATTCTGCCTTGGGTTGCTTATTCGATATGGAAATCCATTGATTAGTGGGTCAAGTAACAAAAACATTGATGTTGGAAGTAGTATCAGCTTGTTCAAGAGCTACCTCATTATGGACGACTTCAGTGTGAAAGTCAGATCTTTGCAGGTATGCCTTGTGCTCCCACTTCTCTGAAGCAGCTTAAAATTTAAGGATCTTCACCTATATCTGCATTGTTCATGTAGGCTTTAGGATTTATCCTAATTGCTAGACCTGAATACATGCTGGAGAAGGACATTGGGAAAATATTGGGAGCAACTTTGTCATCGAGTTCTCATGTTCGCCTGAAGGTGGTAATATGTGCCCTCTTTCATGTGGTTCCTTTTCTACTAGAAACTGAAATGTTACATTTACCAGATGCAAGCTCTGCAAAATCTGTATGAGTATCTTCTGGATGCTGAAAGCCAATTGGAAACAGATAAAGCCAGTAACGATGCTCGAAGTTCGGGCGGAGCTGGTCAAAGGGTGGTACCTGTTGCTGCAGGTGCTGGGGATACTAACATCTGTGGTGGGATTAGCCAGTTATATTGGGATCACATTTTGGGAAGGAGCTTAGATTTGAATGAGGAAGTTCGCCAGACTGCACTGAAGGTGGGAAAATCAGTTCTATATTAAGTTCCCGTGCTAGTACAAGAACTGGTTTCATCATGTAAAATAAAGGGACAAAGCCAGGAAGCTAAAATTTAGTAAATAGGAGTAGGATCTCATGCAATGTAACTTTGCTGCACTTGGATGCTTGAGTTTCACTTATTTGATTTTGTTATCCATGCAGATTGTCGAGGTGGTGCTCAGGCAGGGTCTAGTTCACCCTATTACTTGTGTTCCCTACCTCATAGCACTTGAATCCGATCCGTTAGAGTCAAACTCAAAGTTGGCACATCATCTATTGATGAATATGAATGAGAAGTATGGTGTTCCGACTCTTTTTCTCCTGTTTTTGCAATATATTCATCTTATATTTTACATAAGCAACTCAAAATCAGGGTATCACTTTTTCAGGTACCCAGCGTTCTTTGAGAGTCGATTAGGCGATGGTCTTCAGCTATCATATACATTCATGCATGCTCTCTCTAGTACCTCTAATGAAAAACCAAACCAAAGGCTCCCACCTAAGTCAGCTGTGAATTCCAAAGGAAAGTATGAAACTGGTGCTCTGACTCAGGCTAGGCTCGGAGTTTCTCGGATCTACAAGCTTATTCGTGGGAACCGTGTCTCGAGAAATAAATTCATGTCTTCAATTGTGCGCAAATTTGATAATCCAATCCGTAGTGATTCAGTGATTGGCTTTCTACTGTAAGTGCTTTCAGAGTTTCCGGTCATTTGGCATTTGGTATGCAACTCTTTAACAATGTCAATAATTTTGGTTTCCTTTTTCACAGGCACTGTACCGAAGTGCTTGCTCTACTGCCATTCACTGTTCCGGATGAACCATTGTATCTCATTTATTCTATAAATCGGGTGATCCAAGTTAGGGTTGGGGCACTTGAGGCAAATATGAAGGGGCTAGTATTGCATCTGGCAGAAAGAGCTGCACGGAAAGCTCACCATCAGAATGGGTTACTTCAGGAAGAAGCAACTCAGCTCAGTGTCCGACAAGTGGGCTCAATGGACTTGAATGACATGGCTAAGGAAGAAGAGCCAGTTTATCGAGCACAGTCCAGTCCTTTGAGAAATTTCGATTTGAATGGAACGTTTAAAGACGAGCCACCTGGCCATTCAGTCTCCACTTCAAGTGATCCAAGTACTACAAGCCATATGAACATAGTTGAACCTTGCAGCCTCTCCCAGGATGATATAAACAGAATCCAGGTAAATCACCAGTGTACAATAACCATGTGTCTGCGTGTTTGGAAAGAAATAATTTGAGGTTAGATAGGAAGAGCTTGCCGTTCTGAATCTCCATTCCTGTGGTTGAAGCAGGTCGATTGTCTCGCTGCCACTGCTTTGCAGCTTCTTCTGAAGCTGAAGAGACACCTAAAGATTGTGTATGGCCTGAATGATTCCCGTTGTCAGGTAAATGTTTTTTCATTTGTTATCATCATTAAAAGTTTGCTAGTTATGATCGATTTATTATGTTTATTGAACTAGGCCTTTTTACCAAACGAACCCCCAAAACCTGGAGAGAATCTATCCAGGCAGGCTGTTCCTTTTGACGTAAGTGATATCCGGACTAGCTTGCCCACAACGTATCAGGATCTGGTACAGCGATATCAGGTACGCCAAAAGTAGGCTTACACAATTTGTGTCCTGCTCGTGTGTTGGGAAGTTTCTGTCTCCCATTTATGTAAATGGGAAGTGGGCTCTTTTTAATGCTTGCTTACTTTGTCAAAAACAGGACTTAAAAAATGCGCTGAAGGAAGACACAGTGGATTATGCAACTTACACCGCAAACATCAAGAGGAAGCGCCCCACTCCCAGGAAGAAACCCGGACGAGGTGCCCCAGCAGCCGAAGACATGTATGATGATGATGCAAACCTGACGGGTGGCAGTGCGGTCAGGAAGCGGACAACTCCCAGGAAGAGAACTGGCCGTACTCTGGCCGATGACATGGACGACGACGATGATGATGACGATGGAGACTGGATGGGTGGAGGCAGGAGGTTAACTGGTAGCAGCAGGAGAGGGAACAGATCAGCAGGCAGACAGCGATGATTACGATGAATAGGTATTGTAAATACGACGTAATAGCATATGCATATATATGCTAACCAGTGTACATGAAGTTTTGTTGGCGACAGGGAATAGAGCTATAGGTGGGACAGATCTTTATTGTAGAATGACAGGAGAAGAGAAAGGAATAGGGATTTTTAGGTGGGAACGCTTAGAAAGCATGAAGAAACATGAAGATTGTTTCTTCTTCAGAGTAGTTTGTAACTTGTAGCTGTAGCTTTCTGCTGCTATTTCCATCTTGTAATTTTTTGTCCAGAAAAGTTTTAACTGCCGATTCTTTTCTCGGAATGAAAGTCAAGGATTTGATTACTGGTATTGGTTTCTGGTAAATGAGAAAGCAATAATCTTCTCCCAGATAGCAAGAGATTTTGCAGCAATTCATGGAGCCAAACCGAGAAACCGGAAAGAGATAAATTCGCAGACGATAGATAAAACGCCACGCAGGAGAATGTGCATTGAAAGAGCATGGGAGCAGTCGAACCACCCCTTGTGTTTCTGTTGCTTGATTCGACTTTATTGTTGTTGGAGTTGAATATTGAACTTGTTGCAAGAACAATTGTATTATTTGAACTGGATAAGGTGTACATAGGGCTGTCAAAATGGTTTCGGGTTTTCGGTTTAACCCGAAACCGAACCGCCATCAATCATCTGCGGGTTCGGTTTGTTCGGTTTCAACCCGCGAAGTTACATGTTGGGTTCGGTTTCATGAACCCGAAACCAGAGAGGGAACCCGAAAACCGAATTGCAAAAACAGCTGCTTCAAGTTCCTACGGTGACGTTTTGTTGTAGGGAATTCTTTCGCTTCGAGCCTTCGGCAATTGACTTAGGGGTTAGGGCTGTGACTGTGAGCATCGCGCCGCGCGGCATCGCCATTCGCCAGACACTCGACGATCGGCAGCAACTCTACCCTGCAGCGCCAACCCTACCCTGCAGCGCAGTTAGAGACTCCCCCGTCGCCGGCCGTTGTTCAAGATCGAAGCTTCCTCCGTCAGGGGTCGACGCCGGCGCATCTCGGTCTCAAGCCCTTTGAAGCTTCGACAAAGGAGACGCCACCCCTTTGCAGTTTGCACAACACTTCGCCATGGAATCCCAGTGAGTCTCTTCGCCATGGGTCTGCTCTGTTCTCGTTTCCCTTTACATTCTGTGTTCAGTGCTCTGTTCTCGTTTCCCCTGCCTATTGTTCTGGAAGCAGAGTGTAATTCGGTCATGGCGCTTTAGAGATATAGGAAAATGGATACTCAAAGCAAAAACAGAATACAGTTCATATAGAAAGGTCATATACAGACAGTGTTCAATCTACTCTAATAAAGTAGTGTCTAATCAGAATGGTAGGTTGTAAAAGTTGATATTCGAATGAATGATAGCTGTATACAAGAGAACAATGACCAGTTCTTTTTTCTTGGTGGATTGCCGCTTCACTGATCACTATTGTTATTGTTACCCTCTTTGATGGGTTTGATGTTTGGAGGGGTGGAAAAGGAGACCTCTGTTCTATCTACAACTTTTGTGTTTTTACCTAAACATCCTGCTTACTAATCATGTTTATAGATGTTGACCATGTTATGTAGAGACCGGCCCATTTCCCTTTTTAAAGCTCAATCGTATGCTAGGAGTATCATATGCCACCACTAACTTCCATGTTTTGTTTGTTTGCATAATTTTTTGGGGAATTATGTTATAGCATTCCTTGTACATCCTGCAGCTAGCCTTCAACCAATGTACCTCCTGCTCAATCATGTGCTAGGAATTAATGTCACCTCCATAACACTCAACTTTTCATTTTTACAGGGGAAGTGAGGCACCATCGGCTTCTCGTCCTAAACGTGGAGGACGCTCTAAGAGTACCAGCATTCCTGCTCCTGCACCATCTTCTGCACCGTCTTCCGATCCTGCTCCTGCTTCTGCACCGTCTACCGGTACCACCAATGTACCTCCTGCTCAAACAATAGACGAGGAGACAATTTCAAGAAAAAGGAAAGAAAAGTCTGACGTTTGGCCACACTTCAAGCGTTTTAGGAAGGATGGGTTGGACAAAGCAAGATGCATTTATTGCAATGGTGTTCTTATGGCTCCCACTAAATATGGGACTTCTACTCTGCGGAATCATAAAGATAGTTGTTTGGAAAAGATACAAAAGGGTGAGCAAGTATTTTGGATGGCAAGTATCTGCAGATGAGGTGCGTGGCTCACATTATTAATTTGGCTGTGAAGGATGGGCTTAAAGAAACTGGTAAATCTGTGGAGCGAGTGAGAGAATCTGTGAAGTGGGTTAAATCTACACCAGCTAGGAGCAGAAAATTTAAAGATTGCATTGAGTTTGAAAAGATAGCTTCGAAGAAATTTGTTTCTTTGGATGTAGCTACAAGGTGGAACTCAACGTATCTGATGTTGGAATCTGTAAAGCCATTTGAGAAAGCATTTCAGACATTAGCTAGAAATGATAAGAAATTCAAGAAACATCTCAATGAAAAAAGATATGGAAATGAAAGTCTTGGTATCACGACTTCTGATGATTGGTCTAGTGTGGGACGGTTGATTGATTACCTGAAGCTATTCTATGATTTGACTGTTCGAGTTTCTGGGACTTCATATGTGACTTTACACCTCTTGTTTGATGAGGTATGTGAAATGTATACTATGATATCTGAGTGGGCTGATGGTATAGATTTTGAGGTGTCTTGCATGGCTGATAGAATCAAGTCCAAACTTGCCAAGTATTGGTTTGAAGATGAGTTGGAGAATTCAAAGATGAATCGGTTGTGTTATATGGCAGTCATATTAGATCCTAGGCGGAAAGTTGAATATCTTGAACAAGCTTTGAAAAAGGTGTATGGTGAGAGCAGGGGTAAAGCTTTGGTCGAAGAGGTGAAGGATGAAATGCGTCTTCTGTTTGACCATTACAAGCATAGGCTCGGACTTCCTGGCAGTTCTCCCATTGTGATTCAGGAAGATGTGCAAGAACCTAGTGGAAGTGGGGATGGGAAGAAGAAAGGGAAGATTTGGGGTGATTTCAGGAAAATGAAAAGAGATGCCATTCTGAAAGGAACCAGAAAAAGTTCAAAATCTGAGTTTGATAGGTACCTTGAGGAGGAGGAGGATGATGAAGTGGTTACACGAGCATTGGTGGGTTCAGAAGAGGATGAATACAAATTTGACATCTTGGGATGGTGGTCGCGAAGTGGGATGAAATATCCTACTATTTCTGAGATGGCTAGGGATATTCTTGCTGTTCCTATTTCCACTGTTGCTTCTGAGTCGGCATTCAGCACAGGAGGTCGAGTTTTAGATTCGTTTAGGACCTCCTTATCCCCTGAAGTTGTGGAGGCGTTGATTTGTTCTGAAGATTGGATAAGATCTTCAGACTTTGAGTTGGTGGCTGATGGAGAAGATGAGGGTGATGAAGTGGTATTTCAAAATGGTAAGTTTTAATCTTTCTCTTTATTCTTATATTTGTTATTTTGATCAAGTCATATTCTAACAATTTGTTATTGTTTATGTTATCCAGTATATGTAGCTTTTCAAGCTCGGAGTGCAAGTGCACCTGCAGGACCTAGTGGAAGCTCTCGTGCAGGACCCAGTGGAAGCTCTCCTGCTACCCATGTTTTGGTCTCGAGTCCTACTATGTCACAAGTGGAAGAAGACTATGTCGACAACAATTCCGATGAGAATGATGAGACTTATGTAGATGTAGAGCCTGATGAGGACTGATAATGGTAGTAGTATTTATCTTGTATGGTGGATGAATTTTTATTTTACTTGGATGTTATCATTTGAGAATTGTAAAACTAATGTGTTTAATTACGAGTTGAACTTGGTCCCCCATAAACAAAATGAGGTAAGCAACTCATGTGAAACAATTCATAAAACGATAGATTTTGCACACAATCATCTCAAAAAATTTTAAAAAAAACCCCAAACAATCTCAAAATAAATAAAAACTTAACCCCTCAATCGTCATCTTTCCTTCTCTAACTTCTTAATTATGAATTTTTAAATCAAACTCGTCTCATCTAAATGAAATTATAATCAAGGATTGAAAAACGGTATCTTTTTTGCCATATTTTGCCAAACTCATTACCGACAAAAGTTTCCATTTCCTCTCCCTTTGATTCTTCTTCCTTGCCATATTTTGCCCATTCTTTATAGTTATAGAATACATAAAATTAAGTATTAAATATTTTAATAATTAACTAATAAGAATAAAATTGTTTGTACAAACAAAAGAATGTACAAATAATAATAATAATAATAATATTTTAATAATTAACTAATAAGAATAAAATAGTATGTTTTATGTTTAAGAATGTACAAATAATAAAAATAAATTTTTTTGTACAAACAAAAGAATATAAAAGTCAAATTACAAAAAATAGTAAAAAAAAAACCCGGTTCGGTTTCGGGTCACCCGAATCGACCCAAAACCGCCAGTGATTTTTCGGGTTTCTGAACCCGCAAACCCGCAGTGCACACAGTCGGTTTCGGTTTCGGGTTTTGCGGGAGTCGGTTTCGGGTTTCGGTTTTTTGCGGGTTTCGGGTTCGGTTACCCGACCCGAACCGAACCGACAGCCCTAGGTGTACATAAGAAATTAGCAGGTCAAACTGGATACAACATTAAAACGGGTTGGCAGAGCAATTGTTTTTAACAACTTCAAAACTTGTCCACATATTACACACAAAAAAATTCACAGGAGAAACGAACAAACACCTTACACTTAAACTAAATCCCCTTTTGTGAGGCTTCTGCTACATTACCAGCTAAAAATCAGTTTTCAAAGTGTAGAGAAACAGCGGCTTATCATATTGAAAGAAAAACCCGAAATGAGGTTTCGATTATTCTATTTCACATTACAATTCTCAAGCTTCAAACAAGATGGTGTTTTTTTAAAAGCTTTTCTAGTACTGGGACGACAGTGGCTGCCTCGCATGTCTACTGCAGGCCAAGCTGGAAGTTCTTTCCGGTGTTGCTCATGGAGCAATCGCGAACAGAGGCTGCAAACATAATTCGACCAACGAGAGGCTTTAGATTCTGACCTTAGAAGGGCAAATACTACCGAGAAAGAAGAAGAGAGGGTGTGTGATTACCAGGTCAACACTAACTGGTTTCCCATCCTCCGCCAATATTTCAGTTATGGTTCCAGACTGATCAGCCTGTGAAGCGAGGGAAAAATTGGAACGATCAGTGTTACGAAAGGAGGATTTCCCAGGTGCCATGAACTCTAATGATTGACGAGAAGGACAAGCATACCTCGATTTCATTCATCAGCTTCATGGCCTCAATGATGCAAAGAACCTGTCCTTTCTGTACCTTATCTCCGACCTATGTAAAACGCACATTGATGGTTAAGAAAAAAACCCTCATTACAACACAAACTTCAACGAGTCCAGCCAAAGATAACTAATTTACCTTGACAAATGCCGGTTCACCTGGGGCTGGAGACCGGTAAAAGGTGCCAGCCATAGGACACTTCAATTGATGATGAGATGAAGCAGGCTTTGCAGCTGGAGGAGGCAAGGCAGGTACTGATGATGCAGAAGCTGCAGCAGGAGCGGCGGGAGCAGCTGCTGGTTGTGGTGGCATGGCCTGTGGATAAGGAGGCTGCATCATCATGAAAGGAGAAGCAGCAGGAGCTGGCGGCTGTGGGAGAGCCTCCTTTTTCCTTATCTCTATCTCGCAGTCCAATTGCTTCAGTTTCAACTCCACAATGTCTCTCGAATCCACAAGTCTGCACATTAAGAAGGGCCATTAGTTCCAGCAAACATAGAAGGAAGCAACTTTCCTTCCACCAAGTTGCATGGGACTCTACTTACTTGACCAAGTGTGACACTTGGGTCATGAATTCTGAAATCGATGCCACATCTGGAATTCTGGGTTCTGTAGTCACTACTTTCCCGTTGGATTGGGCGGTATCATCGGATTTGGTGTCCACCAAAGGTGTATTGTTCAAAGATTCTTTGGCAGTCACCTGGAATTTTCAAGCAGCAGATGATGAATGGCTGATTTGAAGCAAATTAAGCGCAACTCTTAGGAACAAACTAGCAACAAACAGGCTTACTTTAGCTTGCACCTTTGATACCAAAGATTCCCTCCGGCTAGGCCTCTGCACATAAAGCAACATTCACATCATGTCAATGAACAACCAACTGGAGAAACAGCATTCTAATGATAGCAGAGCATTCTCTAACAAGCTCAAGAACTAAATTCCGATGCTTTAAGCTAAATAGCAGTAAGCAGGAAACTCTGATGGGTTCAAAGGAGCTTCATAGAGACAAGCAAAAATCTTCAACTAGTAGTTATCAGAGAAAATAGCAAATTCTTCCAAGTAACTCAATTCTTTCGAGTTTCTATCCTTTAACTGAGAACTAGCTGATAGCTATAGAGGCATATAGCCCTCCCCTTGAAAACATCCCCACCTGCCAAACACGGCCAAACCTCTCCCATCAAGATCAAAGCTGAACCTAGAAGCTAGCTTAAGGTATCCAAATCAGTTCAGTCCTCATTTCATCCGACAACTGGAACACGACAACAACAAAAAAACAAACAATGAATACACACCAAACTCAGACTTAAATTGAAGCCTTGGACTAACAACAAGCATCCATCAAAGAGCTTAGAGTAAAGCCAAACTTAGCCATCCAATTCAAAAAGGCTAGACTACATGCAGCAAATTGGATTAAGAGCAAAAATTTGCTTTCAAATAGGCCAAATAACACCGAAATCAAAACTGCAACGGTGGAATTAAGGAAAAGGAAGAGGGGAGAAGGGAAATGGAGCTACGCTACAGCAACAGTATGTAAATGGTGATAAGATAGGAATTGGAAAAATAAAAATGGGAAGATGGGGAAGGGAAAATGACCTGAAAAGCAGAGAATGTGGATCCAATAGAGAGAGAAGAAGCTGGTTTGGAAGCACGAGGGAAGGCAATCCTGTTGGATTCCAAGGGAGCAGCTTGAGATGAGGGAAACCCAGAAGCAGCAACGGTGGTTTTGGGGCAAGGAACGGAGATCGACGCCATGGGGGGCTGTTGCAGAGAAGTTCCCTTCAAGCAAACAGAGGATGAAGAAGCCGCCGAGATCCGAACTGAATTAACAGTCCGGCCAAGTTGAGATTACAGAGATAGAGAGAAGGGCGTTCAGAAGAAATGGAAGGGTTTTGTAAGCGAAATGCGGCGGTGAGATCGATGGAGGAATTGAGCGGCGAAGTTGGCGAGAGAGAGGAAACGCCAACTGGGTTATGGTTCTCTTGGACAGACGGACAATGGGATGAAGTAAAGTTTTCGGTTTTGTCTTTGTTTGGACTTTGGATGGAGCAGAGCTGTGTCGTCTCGTCGTGGGTCTGGGAGTGTTTTTCAAAGGCAGAGTTTCGATACTATCAATGTAATAGTAGTAACTAGTAACCAGAAAGAGAGAGAGAGACAAAGAAGGAAGAAAAGTGGCGAATTGATGAATTGAATTGTGGGAATTATTTATTCGCCTCGTTTCACAAGTCTCTCACGTTGCCCTGTTTTTGGGTCTCAAGCTCTCAAAGTCTTAACTACCAACAACGGCCAACTTCACTTAACACCTTCCCCACCCACACAATTAGAGCTCCTGGCTTCCAGCATTTCTCTCCAACGCCCCACATTTTCTAGCCGACCTCTTGCTTTCCTCTTCTTACCCTCAAATATTTCTTTGGTGTGATTCCGTTTCTCTTACTAGTCTTCTACTTAATCTTAAGAGGATGACAAAAGGATAGTAAAAAGACTTTCATGGCTTCCTAGTTCTCACCACAAAATAAAATAAACTAAACTGAAGCGAAGTAAGGAACATAAAAAAAACAGAGGATCTTGGTGCAACATATTCAATAGTGCTTTCACCAACAGCATCGGTTGAAGGTCTCACTTTAAACGGAATTTGATACAAATTTTAAGATATGTTCTTCATCCATTGTCTCTACTGATTTGGGAATCATAAGCTATGTACACATGAAAAACTGTTTCAGAACTCTAGTTCACAACTGGAGGAAAAAAAAAAGTGTAATTTTACATGATAAATTACCAAAATTTCACTCCAAAAACAGTTGTTCTTAAATAAAGTCTTCCGAGGCTTCTAGTACATTGCAATAGGAAACAAGTTTCCCCTGCATTGATAAAAAAAACAGGCTTATACTACAAGCTGCAAGCTCAGAATATGACTAGGGAAGTTCAACTTCTCAAAAGTTTCTCCAGTGCTGCTTGCCGCGGACAGAGGTGAGAAGTTCATCCGCTGTCCTTCATGGTACAATTACGAACAAAGGCTGCAACACAGAGCCGGGAAACAAAAGCATTTAGAACTTGAGTTAAGATGGTATTGAAGTTTGTCTGATGGTGAGAAAGAGGGAGGTAATGTAATTACCGTGTCCAAGCTAACTGGTTTTCCATCTTCAAGCAAAATTTCAGCTATTGTTCCAGACTTATCAGCCTATTGAATAAGTAGACAGATATGTGAACATTAACATATACACTTCCTGTACCAAAGGAGATTCGTAGCATGACAAAAGGAAATACATACTTCGATTTCATTCATCAACTTCATGGCCTCGATGATGCAGAGGGCCTGACCTTTCTGCACCTTGTCTCCTACCTGTAAAAGACAAGCGAAATTTTCTATACTGAAGTGATCTGGCAAAAACTTGTGTCTGTGTCTCGGAGCATAAGATGTAACCAATAATAGGTGTTTACCTTCACAAATGGTGGTTCGCCTGGGCCCGGACAGCGATAAAAGGTGCCAGCCATTGGACTCTTCAGTGGTGGATAAGAAGACGAGCTAGTCTTTGCAGCAGGAGGCAAGCTAGGTGCTGAAGCTGGAGCTGCAGGAGCAGGAGAAGCTGTTGGTTGTGGCTGTGGTGGTGGTGCCATGGCTTGTGGATATGGTGATTGCATCATCATGAAAGGAGCAGCAGGTGGCAAAACCTGTTTTTTCCTTATGATAAGTTCAAAGTCCATTTGCTTCAGTTTCAGCTCTGCAATATCTCTCTTATCCACAAGCCTGCACATTGTACCTCACATTAACTTACGCAATTGCTTGCAGTGCAATGGGAACTTGTAATTAAACAGACAGGCAAGTTGACAGGGATTTACTTGACAAGGTCTGCTACTTGAGCCATGCACTCTGACACCGTCGCTGCATCTGGAATCATACCTTCAGGATTGTTGTCTGCCGGAGGAGAAGAATTCGAAGATTCCTCAGCAGATAACTGGATATTAAGCAGCAGCAGCAGCAATAGGCGAATCAACCAGTGCTTCAGGTGTAGCTAAATTAAGCATACACAATCTTGCAAGAAGTTCACAACAAATACCTTGTTCGCTTGTGCGTGCACTTTTGTTACAGAAGACAGCTTCTTGCTGGGCCACTGCACAAAGAACAAACATGGTCATCCCACAATACGAACCGGCCACTAGCATTTCGACTTGCGACAGGATTTCAACATTTGGGGGCAGGTAACAATGCCAATACAGATTTCCATGACTCTAGTCTTAAGCTGCAAGAGTATAGCAACCTGAACTCGCACTAACAGTAACAGATGCTGAACTAGCTATCTAGCAATGGTAACCCCTTCCAGGCTTCCACCCTGCCAAACCTTGACTAACAAAATGAACTTAACAGGAATTCACGATCTTTGAGCATAGCAGATACAAAACCATTCAGCTTCTCCCTATAAGTTGATAGCTAATGCAATGTATATCAAGCATATTCGTTTCAAAGCCCTCCCATTGGTTCAACATTGCTATCATTTATACCCATATCAAGAACAAAATTTTAATTTGGGGGAAACATAAAGTAAACATCTTTCTTTCTCGAAAGAACGTAATCCACCAGTGGCAATTCATGATCGCTGAGGGAGTGAGGGGAACAAATTGGGATCTACCCGATTGAATTCATGAATCCCCATCTCAATTAATGTTGGCAAATGCCACCAAGCATAGTTGAATTTTTCCAGTAAGAAAGGCGAAGGAGAGTGAGTGACCTGAAAACCAGAGAATGTAGGTCGGAGGGAGAGAGAGAGGGAAGGGTGGGAAACGATAGGGAAGGAGAGCCTCTGAGGTTGAGCTGAGTCCGGCGGTTGCGACGGAATACGTGCAGCCGTAGCTACAGTGTTGGGCTTAACGCAGGGAGACGACGTTGATGCCATTGCTGCCGACAAGTTGAAAGTCAAGCCGGCCGGAACCTTTGAAGCAGGACAGAGCAGAGTTTTGGGAAGAAGAGGGAAGGCGTTGAGACTTGAGAGTTCCGAACTGAATTAACAGTCCGAGAGAAGAGGAGACGGAAGTGAGGTAGCGAGCCAGCTTGGTTGGGCTGGGGCCCAGCCCAACTCGATAAGGACCAAAATATATGTTACAGCAGTAAGTTACTCTGGATAGAATTATATAATATTTATTTATTATTATAAAAATAGACAATTAATTGGTTCGGGCCCAAATGTAAACTCCACTAGCCCACCGGGTGTCTAAGTCCTGACAGGTGACGGCCCAATTAAACGCTTTCTCTCCACGCTATAATTAAACATTTTGGAACCTAAAAATAAGGGCATTTTGGGGAAATTGTTGCTCATTGTTTGCAATAATGAAGATTAGTGAAGGGCACCGTAGTAATTTCCTCTACTCCGCATTTTACCCGCGTTAATCATCTCATGAGTCATGAGGTGGTAACTCTGCACTATTAATAGCACTGTTGCCCGCCCTTCTGCAACGGTTACTGTACTTTGGAATCTGGATTGGAGTTTTGAGAGGGCTCGGCTAGAGGCGGTGGAGTGGAGAAGAGGGGTTCGATCGTTCGTTAAGCGTGTTCCTGATAATGTCTGCTTCGCGTCGGAGATTTTCAGTTTGGTAATTCCCCCGCCTGATTTCCTTCTGTGCCTCTTCGGAAAATTCGAAATCCCGATAATGCTTTCTTCTTATTCTGCCGAATCTCGGCCGCCGAGAAAGGATTTTTCCGTTCAACCCGCAGTCCATGGAATTTCGTTAGGGTTTCGACATGATTAGCGCGGGTTAGGGTTTTTTGGTACTCGTGGTCGTCGCTCCGTTACAGGATGGGTTTTTGCGTGTTTACGGAAATATGACGCGATCTGGGCTGGACCAACCTTTCTCTGGTAGTGTTCTCCGTGTCCCTTCTTTTCTATGTTAAGAATTTGAATGGATGTGCATGTCATTTGTTTCAGTTACTCCTTATTGCTTGTTCAATGATGCTTTTTCTTGTTGTCCTACTGCCCTATACTTCTGGACTAATCATGATCAAATTGTGGGTGTCGCTAGACAGTGTTTGCTCAATCCTTTCTATATGATAGATAGATTTAGAAAATACATGGTGCCTGTCTTTGACGCTTGTATGAAATTGGGTATGGTTTTGCCTTGGATTAAGATGATTAGTTACTCGCTCCTGTTGCCCTTTTGCCCCACTTCAGGTTCATCAGTCACGATAGTGTTTCATAAATGGGAATTCCTTTGTGGAGTTCTAGAAGCAAACTTGAAAATGATTACTACATCATAGATAAACCCAACAAATATCTGGTCACTGTCGGTTCAATGCTTATCTGAAAGATGATTTGATATTGCTTATAATAAGTGATTTCCTTATTCTAATTGCCCTTCTGCTCCACTTCAGTTGCCCCCCTGTTCTGAACAGAAAATAGTATATGGATTCCTAGAAGGGAAGTTGAGAATGAGTACATGAATCCAAAAAAACATATTGTCTATGTCCGTTCAATGCTTATATGAAAGTTAAATTGGTGCTGCCTTATAATAAGTGATTAGTACTCATTTTAGTTGCCCTTCTGCTCTACTTCAGTTGTGACCATGTTCTATAAATGAAAAGTTTGATATGGAGTCCTAGAAGGGAACTTGAGAATGAGTACTACATCATTGATGAATCCAAGTTCAATGCTTATCTGAAAGTCGAGTTGGTGCTGCCTTATAATAAGTGATTAGTACTCATTTCAGTTGCCCTTCTGCTCTACTTCAGTTGTGACAATGTTATAAATGAAAAGTTTGATATGGAGTCCTAGAAGGGAACTTGAGAATGAGTACTACATCATTGATGAATCCACGTTCATTGCTTTTCTGAAAGTCGAGTTGGTGTTGCCTTATAATAAGTGATTGGTACTCATATCAGTTGCCTTTCTGCTCCACTTCAGTTGTGAATGTGATCTGTAAACAGAAAGTACAATAGGGAGTCCTAGAATGGAACTTGAGAATGAGTACTAGATAGATAGACCCAGAAAATACCATTAATGATTAATTACTCATGGAGCAGTAGAAGTGGACTTGCAGTGAGCAGTACATCATAGACATTCAGTTAAATGGTTATCTCAAAGTTTGTTCTGGTTCTTACTATAGTGAAATGATCAGTTACTCATTCTAGTTGCCTTAGTTATGCAATTGTCAACTCTTTATATTCTTGGCGCGCCCTTACTGTTTGAGAAAGTAAGATTTCATGATCATCGACTGATTCAAGTTGCCACTTATTGAGATGATCATTGGCTGATTCAAGTTGCCTTTTGCTCCCTTCAATCACGATAACATTCTGCAAGCTGAAAGTCTTGTGTGGAATCTGTCTTAGGTGAGACTTTTAAAATTAATACTAATATATAGTTACTTCTCTAGCAAGTCCGTACACTTAAAAAAATATGCTATACATGTTGGTTCACTGTTGATCTGAAAGTTCCGTCCAGTTTCGCCTAATTATTGAGTTATCATTTACAGATGTACTCATTAAAGTTGCCCTTCAGCTCCCCCTTAACGTTCATCAATTGTGATGCATTAACGATTTTTATGAATTCGTGAAGAGAACTTGAGAAAAAGATTCGAATGCTCTGGCTGTTTGTAACATTATCGAAACATCCAGAAATACTCAAGCCATGTAAGGTTGCTGCTAATCTAAAATGTCGATCTTCTTTAGCCTTATAATTATATGAGGGTCAACCTACTTCATCTAGTTGCCCTTCTGTTCCACGTCAGCTTTTCGTGAACTTAGGAATATCTTCAGTGTGAGTGTCTCGCTACAAAATCCAAGGATTACATGATAGTTCATGGTTTTTGTTTCATCTGACTGGAAGGTCTGTGTTGTTGCTTGATCTTGATCTGATATGATTTTCGATTTTTCGTTACCTTTCGGTTTCCCCTTAGTTCTTCTGGTTTATTAAGGTACTACTGTTTTCTGCAAGTTGAAACCCTTTCAATGTGTCCAACAAATAGCTCCAAGAAACCCTTTTAATAAGATGATGATTAGTTACTCATTCCAGTTGCCTTCCTACACTTCAGATTCATTAGTCGTGACAATATCTTGCTAGCAGGAAGTGCTTTAAGGGTGTACTGGCATTCTTTACTGAGCCCAAAGAACTACCTTTCGCTGCTGTAATTTCTCATTGATGGTTTGGCTTCATTGAAGATTGTTTTTCAAGTTATATTTGCATGTATGATATTTTTATATGTGTGATTCAGGGATCATGTTAGAACTTGGATTATCTGAAAATTGAATATTTGCATGTCCCTCATATAGTCGGATTTGAATTGCAGAACTATCCCTTACGTGCCAAATACTACTATAGTCGGGCATGCATTTGTTGCTTGGATTTCTGAACCTCTATTTTTCTGTAGTTTAAATTCTCTACTAGCAGGGAACAAAGGATTAACAAACAAAAAGAAAGAAAAACAGTAGCAGTGAAACCATGTTGCAAAGTCACAGCCTTGGTAAATTGTGTATGCGTGCTGGAGTCCAGGAATTATTCGAACTTCTAATTCAGTAGCATTTGATGCCCCAGAACGTGAAAATGAACAAAGTTCATTTGCTCTGTTGCAGCATGTGTCCTGCATGTTTTGTCGTGGTTGGTGTTGTTGGATTTGATAATGTTTTCTTTCTGATATTAATATGTTTGAGAGGGTCGAGTAGATATTGTTGCTATCGAGGTCAGGATATCTGCTTCTGATATGTTAGACTGCTCGCTTTAACTATTTGGAGTCCTAAGACTATGACACTTGAGCAATTGTATCACCTGTAAGTATATTCAATCATCCAACTTTCGGAGATTTCTAAAGAGAGGTAAAGCTTCTTACTGGATATAATCTGAATATAGTATGTGCATAATATCTGCCTGAATCGATTAGAGATTTGATGGTAGAGAATTTGATCCCTTTCTTTATCCTTTTCTAATGAATTTTCAATTTGGTGAACCCAGTTGGTGGATAAATTCCATTGTCACTTTCTTGCGAATCTAGAAGTTGGGTCTGTTTTCACCTTATAATAATTAAGAGAGTCTATCAGTTTTACTTATTCCAGTTGCCATTCTTCTTCTCCAGATTCCTCATCCGTGGCAGTATTTGGTGAACTAGAAATATTGAATGGAGCCCTAAAAGGAGCTGAATAGTATTCTGTCAACATAATTTCTAAAATGAATCTTATGGGGGAATGCAGCAATGCTCACTTCTGGATTGGTATCTTATGTCACAGTCGACTGACCCTGAAGATTCTATTCACGTTCTACTTACAGATCCCGATATCACTTCAAGTTGTAAACAGAAGTTGGTATTGAGGTTGATTTAGATGGTATTGAGGATGACCCTGAGCATCAACGTTTGGTATGGAGGTTTCCTATACAGAAATGCGATGGACATTGTAGGAAAATGTTCTGGACTTGTAGTTCCTCTACATTGTCCAGTTCAAGTCGTGTAGCTTCAAGATGCAGCCTCATGTCTACGTTGTTGCCAGCTGGTAGATTGATCAATGCATTTGAGACTCTTCGAGGCTTGCTGGATTGACTGTCTTTATGTTGGCTACGTATTGCTTCACCTTGTTATGATCCACATTGCTTCGTCTTCTTAGGAGGGTTGATAGAACTTGGCATGTGGAATCCTTTCATTATAGATGAGTAATCTTATGTGGCACTGCACAGGTCTGGGGCCCTTCGAGATCCGTGCAACATTTTGGTTGAGGAACTTATTTTTATCCTGGACCAATGCATGTTTGGTTAAGTTGCAGCAACGCCAGCAACTTCTTCTCCATGTTGTCTTGTTAAGTGGCAGTACCAGCAAATTTCTCAGAAACTTCCAATGTTTTAAAGCTAGGAAGATGCCAGCTAATTGTGTGTTTCCCAATCTGTTCTAGTTATTTGCAACTTCTGAGATTAGAGGGTGTGGCCTTGAGGGATTTAACGTGGGAAGATGTGGCGTTTAGAGATGATGACAAATCTAAAGTTTTTGGACTCTCTGTATTCAAAGAAAACTTTCTGCTGCTGCTGCTAAAGGTATACAATACTCTAGTTACTCGGTCTCCTAGCAAAATTGTAATGGGAGCAAGAACCTGTCATATTCTTTTAGGTAGGAAGTTGGGTTGGACTTTGAAATATGTACATGGTGGAAGAAAAAATAGACACGAAGATCTCATTTGGCTTTTAAATATCAGTGTTTGAAATTTTAAACATTCATGTTCAGAAATGGAAATATATACATGATGGGAGGTAAACTTCATTGATACGTTGAACCTTACTGTTTGAGGTAGTAAGATGTTTACTGCATTCCAGGATGTACCCGTCTGCAAGTCGGTTCATTGATTTTGTGACCTGGCTTCATTACAGGATGTAATTGCCTTTTTCCTGATATATATAAGATTATCTTTTGTAAAAAAAAAAAGATGTTTACTGCAAAGTTGTATTATGTCCTGCCTTGTGAAATCTAAATATGGTGCATCCATATTGCTAAGTCTGCTTACATCATTATTGTACCCAGTCTATCTGCAAATGCTTGTTGCCCTTCTGCTCCCTATTAAATGGATTCAAGTTCTCTCAGCAGTAGTTCTTGATATTCATTGTTCTGAAAATAGATTCTAACTGGTCACAAAGAACAAGAAATCATGAGGCTAGCATACGAATGCATAGTTCCTACTATTTTTGATTGAATGGTCTTGGATTATCATGCATGTCTTCTGTAAAGTATCCCTGGCTACTGCCTACTTTCTTATCGAGTATATAGTTTCGATTGAGTCTTAGAAGCACACAAATCCATAGTTCCTGTGAATTGTGATTGAATGGTCTTGTATTATCTATACATATATTCTTTTACTGGTTGTCATGGATTATATATGCATGGTTGCCTAGGAAATATATACTTGGTACAGGGGAGTATAGACAGAAATTTTTTGTTTATATTTAAAATATCTATGTTTACGAAGTATCTTTTGGCAAAAAAAAAAGATGTTTAGAATTTGGAAATGTTCAAGTCTACAGAAAAACCAGCAAGGTAACTTCATTTGGTTGAGTACTG